TGGGTTTAGTAACTCTTTAAATATAAAATCACATCTATAATGAATGGGCATATAATATGATTTGGAATTTGTTCACCTAGGATCCCATGGGCACCTTAAAAGTCCCCATACTCAGTGATTTCTCTGTTACACACCAGAACTACTTGAACCTGTTGCACACGTCAATACTATTAATGAACATTTTTCAGACTTTTCATGAATTTGACACAAGGCTTCCAACTGCATCCACACCTCCAGAAATGTTTTGCAAATGCCTTATGTAACTGCTCGTAATGTACATACAAACTGCTGCCTCCAGCAATCGGCTTACATTCACAATACTTCCTTATTTTCAACTCTCCAGCTTTGCCCAGTTGTACATCGAAACAAAACCATACATTATTGTGCAAGAGTTTTAGGCAGGTGTGTAGAAAATGCTGTAAATTAAGAAATCTTTCAGAAATAGAAGTGTTAATAGTTAATTGTCATCAGTTAACAAACCGAATAAAAGAAAAAAAAAAAAAGTAAATGCACAAAAGAGAAATCCTAGTTGAGTGGGTTGGGCCTCTTCAGGGGTAGGTTAGCTAAGGAAGTACAGGGCAGGACTGACTATGTGCCTGAATTTTTCCTGGACAAATATGGGGACTAAGAATACGCATACATCATACATACTAGGGGGGTACAACTGGGGGAATCAATGGTGGAGAAGGATCTGGGGGTTCTGGTAGATCACAAGCTTAATAATGCCATGCAATGCCAAGCTGTGGCTTCTAAAGTGAGCAAAATCCTCTCTTGTATTAAAAGAGGTATAGACTCCAGAGAGAGAGATATCATTTACCCCTGTACAAATCATTAGTAAGACCTCATCTGGAATACGCAGTTCAGTTTTGGGCACCAATTCACAAAAAGAACATTGGGAAACTGGAGAAAGTACAGAGAAGGGCAACCAAACTGATAAGAGGCATGGAGAAGATCAGCTATGAGGAAAAATTAGAGGAACTGAATTCATTCTCTCTTGAGAAGAGGAGATTAAGGGGGGGGGATATGATCAACATGTATAAATACATCAGTGGTTCATATAGTGAACTCGGTGTAGAGTTGTTCACCCTGAGGTCATCACAGAGGACAAGGGGGCACTCTTTACATCTGGAGGAAAAGAAATGTAATCTCCAAACACGGAAAGGTTTCTTCATAGTAAAGCTGTGAAAATGTGGAATAGACTCCCTCAAGAGTTGGTTCTGGCCAGCTCAGTGGATTGCTTTAAAAAAAGGCCGGGATTGTTTCTTAGATACACAGACTATAACTGGATACTAACATTTATAGGTAAAGTTGATCCAGGGAATATCCGATTGCCTCTTGGGGGATCAGGAAGGAATTTTTTCCCTGCAGGAGCAAGTTGGATCGTGCTTTGCTGTTTTTTTTTGCCTTCCTCTGGATCAACTCTGGGTATAGAATTATAACTTTTTTTTTAATGGTTGAACTGGATAGACTTAACAGGTGCACTAGATGGGCAACAATGAGAGGATCCCCAAAACAGGAATGGTTTTACAGGTGAAGGCCACTGAGATTTTTTGCCCTTCTGATCCTATTTGACTGTTTTTCACTAGTTTTGCATTTGGCTAGGGTCAGTGTGACTACTGGTAGCATGAGGTGATACCTGGTCCCTAGAGAGGTTGCATCGGCAGTCCAACTCCTCCAGGATGGCACATCAATACGTGCCATTGCCAGTAGGTTTTCTGTGTCTCCCAGCACAGTCTCAAGAGCATGGAGGAGATTCCAGGAGACAACCAGTTACTCTAGGAAAGCTGGACAGGGCCGTAGAAGGTCTTTAACCCATCTGCAGGACCGGTATCTGCTCCTTTGTGCAAGGAGGAACAGGATGAGCACTGCCAGAGCCCTACAAAATTACCTCCAGCAGGCCACTGGTGTGAATGTCTCTGACCAAACAATCAGAAACAAAAATCATGAGGGTGGCCTGAGGGCCCAGCACCCTCTAGTGGGCCCTGTGCTCACTGCCCAGCACCATAGAGTTCGAATGGCATTTGCCACTGAACACCAGAATTGGCAGGTCCACCACTGGCACCCTGTGCTTTTCACAGATGAGGGCAGGTTCACCCTGAGCACATGTGACAGACGTGAAAGGGTCTGGAGAAGCCGTGGAGAACATTATGCTGCCTGTAACATCATTCAGCGGGAAACGTTTTGGTGGTGAGTCAGTGGTGTCAGGTCTGTGGAGGCATATCCATGGAGGAACACACAGACATCTACAGGCTAAACCAGGGGTCCTCAAACCTTTTAAACAGGGGGCCAGTTCACTGTCCCTCAGACCGTTGGAGGGCCGGACTATAGTTTTAAAAAGAAAAACTATGGTCATCTCCTGTACTGTGTTTGCATTTGTTCAGAGACTGCGGACATACAATGGCGGTAGGGAATACTGGGCCGGCCGCTCTATAATATGCACAGACATTTCCCCCCAAGTGTGTCTTATGGAGCGAAATAGTGTCCCATCATTGGTGTCAGTGAGAGGAATAGTGCCCCACCATTGGTGCCAGTGGGAAGAATAGTGCCACATCATTGGTGTCAGTGAGAGGAACAGTGCCCCATCACTGGTGTCAGTGAGAGGAATAGTGCCCCATCATTTATGTCAGTGGGAGGAATAGTGCCCATCATTGGTATCAGTGGGAGGAATAGTACCCCATCATTGGTGTCAGTGGGAAGAATCATGCCCCATCATTGGTGTCAGTGGGAGGAATAGTGCTCCATCATTGGTGTCAGTGGGAAGAATCGTGCCCCATCATTGGTGTCAGTGGGAGGAATCGTGCCCCATCATTGGTGTCAGTGGGAGGAATAGTGCCTCATCATTGGTGTCAGTGGGAGGAATAGTGCCCTCATCATTGGTGTCAGTGGGAGGAATAGTGCCCCATCATTGGTGTCATTGGGAGGAATAGTGTCCCATCATTGGTGTCAGTGTGAGGAATAGTGCCCCATCATTGGTGTCAGTGGGAGGAATAGTGTCCCATCATTGGTGTCAGTGGGAGGAATAGTACGTCATTGGTGCCAGTGGGGGGGGGGGGTGGAATAGTGCCCCATCGTTGGTGTCAGTGGGGGGAGGAATAGTGCCCCATCATTGGTGTCAGTGGAGGGAGGAATAGTGCCCCATCATTGGTGTCAGTGGGAAGAATCGTGCCCCATCATTGGTGTCATTGGGAGGAATAGTGCCCCATCATTGGTGTCAGTGTGAGGAATACTGTCCCATCATTGGTGTCAGTGGGAGGAATAGTGCCCCATCATTGGTATCAGTGAGAGGAATAGTGTCCAGTCATTGGTATCAGCGGGAGGAATAGTGCCCCCCCTTATTGGTATCAGCGGGAGGAATAGTGCCTCATCATTGGTGTCAGTGGGGGAGGAATAGTGCTCCATCATTGGTGTCAGTGGGAAGAATCGTGCCCCATCATTGGTGTCAGTGGGAGGAATAGTGCCTCATCATTGGTATCAGTGGGAGGAATAGTGACCCATCATTGGTGTTATTGGGAGGAATAGTGTCCCATCATTGGTGTCAGTGTGAGGAATAGTGTCCCATCATTGGTGTCAGTGGGAGAAATAGTACGTCATTGGTGCCAGTGGGGGGGGGGGGGGAGGAATAGTGCCCCATCATTGGTACCAGTGGGAGGAATAGTGCCCCATCATTGGTGTCAGTGGGAAGAATCGTGCCCCATCATTGGTGTCAGTGGGAGGAATAGTACGTCATTGGTGCCAGTGGGGGGGGGGGAGAGGAATAGTGCCCCATCATTGGTATCAGTGGGAGGAATAGTGTCCCATCATTGGTGTCAGTGGGAGGAATAGTGCCCCATCATTGGTATCAGTGAAAGGAATAGTGTCCAGTCATTGGTATCAGCGGGAGGAATAGTGTCCCATCATTGGTATTAGTGGGAGAAATAATGCCCCATCATTGGTGTCATTGGGAGGGAATAGTGCCCCCATCATTGGTGTCAGTGGGAGAATAGTGCCCCATCATTGGTGTCAGTGGGAGGAATAGTATCCCATCATTGGTGTCAGTGGGAGGAATAGTACGTCATTGGTGCCAGTGGGGGGGGGGGTTGGAATAGTGCCCCATCGTTGGTGTCAGTGGGGGGGAAATAGTGCCCCATCGTTGGTGTCAGTGGGGGGAGGAATAGTGCCTCATCACTGGTGTCAGTGGGGGGGAGGATAGTGCCCCATCACTGTTGTCAGTGAGAGTAATAGTGCCCCATCATTGGTGTCAGTGGGGGGAATAGTGGGCCCATCATTGGTGTCAGTGGGGGGGAGAATAGTGTCCCATCATTGGTGTCAGTGGGAGGAATAGTGCCCCATCATTGGTGTCAGTGGGAGGAATAGTACGTCATTGGTGCCAGTGGGGGGGGGGGGGGAAATAGTGCCCCATCATTGGTATCAGTGGGAGGAATAGTGCCCCATCATTTGGTGTCAGTGGGAAGAATCGTGCCCCATCATTGGTGTCAGTGCAGGGAATAGTGTCCCATCATTGGTGTCAGTGGGAGGAATAGTGCCCCATCATTGGTATCAGTGAAAGGAATAGTGTCCAGTCATTGGTATCAGCGGGAGGAATAGTGTCCCATCATTGGTATTAGTGGGGAGAAATAGTGCCCCATCATTGGTGTCATTGGGAGGAATAGTGCCCCATCATTGGTGTCATTGGGAGGAATAGTGCCCCATCATTGGTGTCAGTGGGAGGAATAGTATCCCATCATTGGTGTCAGTGGGAGGAATAGTACGTCATTGGTGCCAGTGGGGGGGGGGGTTGGAATAGTGCCCCATCGTTGGTGTCAGTGGGGGGAGGAATAGTGCCCCCTCGTTGGTGTCAGTGGGGGGGAGGAATAGTGCCCCATCGTTGGTGTCAGTGGGGGGAGGAATAGTGCCCCATCGCTGGTGTCAGTGGGGGGGAGGAATAGTGCCCCATCACTGTTGTCAGTGAGAGTAATAGTGCCCCATCATTGGTGTCAGTGGGGGGAATAGTGCCCCATCATTGGTGTCAGTGGGGGGGAGGAATAGTGTCCCATCATTGGTGTCAGTGGGAGGAATAGTGCCCCATCATTGGTGTCAGTGGGAGGAATAGTGCCCCATCATTGGTGTCAGTGGGAGGAATAGTGCCCCATCATTATTATCAGTGACACCAATGATGGGGCACTATTCCTCCCACTGACAGCAATGACACTTTACTAGCCGACCCCTGTTCCAGCATGGTGCTGCTGCAGCCGGCATACCTGGTTGCAGCAGTACCATCTGCACGGCACACTTATTGGGTGGTCAGCTGTCCTCCTTCCTTCACTTTGACCTCTCCCTCCCTTGATTTTCGTGGGGCCGCTCGGCTCCGCCCCTCGCCGGTGATTGGCCGCCTGTGTGCCTTTCCTGAGCTACAGTACTGGCGCCCAATCACCGGTGAGGAGGCGGAGCCGAGCAGCAGCGCGGACATCGAGTGAGGGAGCGGCCGGAGTGAAGGAGCTGCGCATCCTGGACTGGATCGTCGTGGGACTGGAGCCAGGTAAGAGACAGCAGCCCCCTGCCCGCCCCTGTACTTAGTGTCCCCTGCCAGCGGGCCGGATGAATGTGCTCGGCGGGCCGTAGTTTGAGGACCCCTGGGCTAAACAATGAAACCCTGACTGTCATTAGGCATGGGGATTAAATCCTTGGACTCATTGTCAGACCCTATGCTGGTGCAATGGGTCCTGGGTTCCTTCTGGTGCAGGACAATGCCCGTCCTAATGTGGCAAGAGTATGCAGGCAGTTCTTGGAGGACAAAGGAATTGATACCATTGAATGGTCCCCATGGTCGCCTGACCTAAATACAATAGAACACCTCTGGGATATCATGTTTTGGTCCATTCAACACCGACAGGTTGCAGCTCAAACTGTCCAGGAGCTCGGTGATGCCTTGGTCCAGATCTGAGAGGAAATACCCCTGGGCAGCATCCGTCATCTCATTAGGAGCATGCCCCGACCTTGTGCATACAAGTATGTGGGGGCCATACAAACTACTGGGTACCATTTTGAGTTGCTGCAATGACATTTCAGCAAAATGGACTATATAGTGCCTGCTGCATCATTTTTTCACTTTGAGGCACGCCACACTTTTCAGATATTTATTTGTAAAAAAATGTTGAAAACCATTTATCATTTTCCTTCCACTTCACAATTATGTGCCACTTAGTGTTGGTCTATGACATAAAATCCCAATAAAATACATTTACATTTTTTAAAAAAAAAAACTGAGTAAGTGAGCGCTTGAATAGATAAACAGCAGCTGTACACCAAAAAAGGCACCATATACAACCTTCAGAGACGTAGATATGCAAAAGGAGGGGGAGGTGCAGCGCTATACAAACTAACAGACAATAATGAAATCCAGAATCAAACTCACATAATAGACAGTGACTGTGTGCTAATAAAATAAAGCCACTGGATGGTGGCTATAAAGTGAAAGAAGTGCAAGATAAATAAAAGAGTCCAATGAAGGGGTGCTCTTAAGATCCGAGATGATCCTCAGACGTCCAATAATTGGAACCGCAAGGTGATAAGTAATGTAAAGATTGCGCACACTCACCAGATACGCAATCTTTATGAGTCTCAAGATTTATAGAGTTAGGACGACAGATACACAAGGTGCCGTGATGTGGCTTACAAAAGTGATATAAATGTGTGATTTTCACCGCGCCGTTTGTTGACAACAAGCCAGATCTACAGAGCAGCCGCATCTATCCGAGTGCCAGGCAGCGAAAGTCATGCTGACCAGATCTGACCAGACCATTCTGATGACACCAGAGCTCCAGTGATACTATATACAAATGCGCATAAAGATTGCGTATCTGGTGATTTGCGCAATCTTTACATTACTTATCACCTTGCGGTTCCAGTTATTGGACGTCTGAGGATCATCTCGGATCTTAAGAGCACCCCTTCATTGGACTCTTTTATTTATCTTGCACTTCTTTCACTTTATAGCCACCATCCAGTGGCTTTATTTTATTAGCACACAGTCACTGTCTATTATGTGAGTTTGATTCTGGATTTCATTATTGTCTGTTAGTTTGTATAGCGCTGCACCTCCCCCTCCTTTTGTATATCTACATTTACATTTTTTTTTTGTAACTTGACAAAATGTGGAAAATTTCAATGGGTATGAATACATTTTCAAGGCACCGTACATTCACGCTAGCACTTCAATGCAGAATAAATGATCTGGTAAGTATAAACAAACCTAATGCTCCCCAGATCAAGTTGTCCTGTGTTTAGATATACCTACCTTAACACTAGGTTCAGACTGTTGCGGATGGTTGCAAGTGTAGGAATTGTGGCTGTTCCCACAGCTGCAATCACCCGCAGCCAAAACAAGCTGCTCTGTAGAGACATTCTTAATGGCACCTCCAAGCAGCTAAACCCGCAACACCTTTGTGGGAAAAACAGGTGTGAAAGTGCCCTAAAAATCATTATCTACATTTAGAAATGTCATATAAACACGTTTGTCATGCCAGTGTAAATGACACCTAAAGCTACTTTTCTGTTACCATAGGATGTTTGTCCATATTTTAATGTTTGTAATCTTCATCCTTTGAGGATTTTTTTTTTGGTATATACACTAAACGCTCTGCAACATACTTGGTGTCGATGAGATGTTAATTTGGTGGAATATTATGACAATGAACCAATATAAATAATGCTTATTTTTGGGTTCTGACACTTTGATAAAAGATTGGTATGTGAATTTGAAGAAATAGGAACTCTTTAACATGTATATGTTGGCCATAGTGGTTACACCTCATTATTTTGTTGTGTTTGATTATATATCTATCTAATGAACATAACATATAATAATCAAAAGGTTCCTCCTGCGCTGTTATGGACCCCAACCCTACCCTACAGCTGCTAACACTCAAACTGATACCAAAACAGTGCAATAAATGAATAAAAAATAGTGTAGCGCTACTAAACTAGATGACCATAGTTATTAATTCATAAACAAATCAAACCTTAACGTGATTGGTGATAGACAATAAAAATAAATATTAATATATATATAATTGTGACACAACCTAAAGTGACAGGGTCATCTTAGTGCCCTAAACAAGTGCCAACACATTATTAAACATAATTACTAAAAAAAAAAATAATTGATGAATACTGTGATAGGTGCCAATTCAAATCTCAAAATAAGTCCAATAGTTGAATAAGTGAGTGATGTCACATATATATGCAATGTGCACATTGGTGCTCAATCGTGCAAGTGCCAGCACACTTTTCCACTCCAGCTGCAGTGCCTCCTCACCTCCTTTCTGCGACCCCTAAGGGCCAGAAAGCCTTCAGGATCACCCTGGATCCTCAACAGCACCGCCTGGTAACTCTCCTTCACAAACTGTTTCTTCCAAATTTCTCCTCTGTGTCCTTTAGGACCCTCTAAACAGGTGTTCTGTGAAATCTCACTCACATATTAGTGAGCACAAAAGAGATCCTCCATAGTGTAGTAAATCAAGCTTGCAGATCTTTTTATTTAAATTAAAAGGCAACTCACATTTGTTTTACAGCCTCTTTCCTCTATGTGAGTAGATTGTATGCATGTAGTATTTCCTGAGAGTTCCAAGATGGCGTCCCGTACCGGAAGTGCATCACTTCAAAATCGGAAGCTGCGTATCGGCGTAGCTACGCGTTACGTCACGTGGTCTCGTGACTTCTTCGGGATACCCCGAAGAAGTCACAAGACCACGTGACGTAACGCGTAGGTACGCCGATGAAAACTACAAGTTAAGCTTAGCTTTGGTGAAATTTGTGTGTGTTGAAACTACTGGTACATCCAGGGATTTAATGTGGTATTAAAACCCAAAATCATACATTTAATTTATTGCAGCTTACCAATTCTTAGATGTGATGGCTGTATTTTTTTAGGCTTTCTTCTATCTGGTAAACAGCTAGCAAGTCTGTTTTTCAGAAGCTCAAGCTCTCCAGGAAAATGTTTTAGTTTACGTAGATGAGACAAACCATTTAACACTGGCAGAGGTGATTAAAATGGTCAGCTGTTATTTAATCAAGAAAAACCTTTATCCCTCCCAAAAAAACCTGTTTGCTGTAACTGATTATAAAGTTTGAGCTGGAGTTTGTCTTCAGTTTGTTTAGTGTATTTATTGCTATACATTTAAAACTACCCTCCCCCAAGACTGACAATGCTGCTGTGCCTCCTGTGCTCATTCACCCAGATCTCACTAATACAGGAGGTGCGTTACTGGCCAGGCAAAAAAAAAAAAATAAAAGAAACCATATGCAGCCACCACATCTAATGATTGGTAAGCTGCAACATAATACATTTTTGACTTTGGGTTTAATACCGCCTTTAGCTGCTGATGTTATATTAAAATTTAATTTTTTTTTTCTGTAAAGGTCAAGCTTTGCACCACTTCCTGCTCATCTTTTGCTCTAAAGATTGACAGCCTATCTGGTCAATAAGTAGACTTAGGAGATAGAAATGATGGATCCAATATTTTTTTAAAGGAAGACATTTTTAATGCAACAACTGCTTGTATCTCTTGATCTACAGACCATTGTGACAATGATTTCCACTGCTAGTTTTTTTTTTTCCGTTTAGACATTCAACATAACTGAGGTGGATGTCAGAATACACTGATCAGAGGCTGCAGCCACTAATCAAAGAAAAAATTTCCAACATGACCCTTCAACAGAAGTCAATCAATCAACTTCCGTCGATCATAGATGGCCGCACACTGATCAAAATACATCTAGTTCAGCAGGGACTGGCCATATTTCAGTGTATGGTCAGCATTATGTTCACTTTTAATTTCCCAGGTTTGTGAAATGTTTATATTAAAGTCCAAGCCCAAGAAAACCTTAGTTTTTGGATAGAGCGGAGAAAGATTACAACCTCTGTCTTCCTCCTCAATGGGGGGATGCATGCGTTGGCCGCTGCAGCTCCAAGACACTTGATGCGGATTTCCATAGAGCCTGCTCTTTACACTGCAGAGGGGTTTTCTAATTATACCGCCTCTCCAGCTGCAATCTGCTGCAAGCTCTTCACTATGCCTCCATCGCTGTGTCTTCTTCTGGGGTTCTTGTAGCCGTCCCCCTGCTGGCATGCACGTGCCACAGTGTAACATCAGGAATACAGCTGCAAGAACCAGGAAGAGACAGCCAGAGCCCCGATGATGCACAGCAGCG